GTATGCTCAGTGCTTGTCCGAGAGCTTGCGAAAAAACCTCACAAGCTTACTCGGGTGGGACTCAAACCCATGACCTCCTGCTTACTAGTGCAGATGTTTTAACCATTCAACCACCGAGCTTGCCGGGGTCGGCTGGCCGGTCTGAGTCAAATGAAGCAGCGAGTACCGCGAACTATTTTCAAGATGTATTTTTGCATTGGGGAGATGCTAATTATATATAACGGGTTTGCCCTAAAAGTGTCTGTCGCCAAAAATTGGTACAATGTATACATGTGTTCATTGCTCATCAATATCTAGAAGCACAGCAATTATTATCACAACTGGAGGACTTTGAGGTCAAAAGGTAGGCCTGATGTGAAATGACCCATATTCATCTGATTTTGTTACAACAAAATAAACATGAACAGTTTGTATGTATCTATTTATATCCAGATTACATCAAGTTCTTTAAAAGTATTACACGTACTTACGATACTATTTAAAGATCTACCAACATGCCTAAAGGGAGCTGCAATTAATTTTTCTTGGACACAAGTTTCCTGCACTCTTCTTCAATGTATGAACTCTCTTTAACACTCCCATTTGGTTAAATGGACTGAAAGATGTGTTTTTTAAATACTTAAAATTATCCATGCTTAACTGGACAACTGAGGGCGCTGTTGTTATGATGTCATCCAGGGAAGATATTGTTAATTGCACAGGTTTTTCTATTCAAATAGTGAACCCAGAATTTACTTCCTGGAAACATTTCAGAGAAAAGTAGTGGTGCCCACTTATTGCAATGCACATAAACAACGATTGGCAAAAAAGAGAAAATTTAGCCTTGTAAAACCTACCAAAATGCATGACGTATTTGAGTACAAACTAATGTAACATTTAGGTTTTCTTCCTGGGATGACATCAAAGTTTTGCTCAAGAACATTTATACTCATAAGCATAAACACCAAAGAGGCAGCAAAATACCCTTTGAAATACCGGTAGTGTGGGGAAAAAATGTTGAAAACACAGTTAACTGAGACACAAAGGTGCATTTTCAAAGTTTGTATTCAAACAAATTAATTCCAGCTACCCTTTAACAGAATGAAACCGAGACAGACTACCACATACTGTGGGTCCTCCATATTCAGATGTTCTTTCTCATTACATTGCAAGTTTTGTGAATTTCTTTTGTTACAGAGAAGAACTTCTCTTTTTCTATGGACACTCAAAAGTGAAGTTGGTAATAAAGCTCCACTCCCA